CTGTGCAAAGTACTTCACATCCTCAGTGGGAAACTATGGCTCAGAGAGTTGCCTCATCTATCTTTACAAAGTTGCAAGAAAGTAAGATGTGAGAAAATAGAATAAAACATCCTTAAATGACTACAGTGTCGCCTGCCAAACACACAGTTGCCAAATTCCCCCTCCATTCACATTTTTTTTCCTTGACCCATAATGTTTTCAGAGTAAAAGTATTACAAAAGGGACTTCCCTGGTGGCGCAGTGGTTACGAATATGCCTGCCAATGCAGGGGACACGGGTTCGATCCCTGGTCTGGGAAGATCCCACATGCCACGGAGCAACTAAGCCCCTGTGCCACAACTACTGAGCCCATGTGCCACAACTACCGAAGCCCATAGGCCTAGAGCCCGTGCTCCGCAACAAGAGAAGCCACCACAATGAGAAGCCCGAGCACCGCAACAAAGAGTAGCCCCCGCTTGCCGCAACTAGAGAAAGGCCGCGCACAGCAATGAAGACCCAAAGCAGCCAAAAATAAATAAAATTTTAAAAATGTTACAGAATACTTAGAGGTTTTCCTTTTTTTCCCCCATTAGAAACATGATATTGAGCAACAGAGTAATCCTAATCTTTTGTTAAAGACACATTTTCCCAAATGGTGCATACACTTACATTTATTACTTGTTTACAATAATGCATTAAGCTGACAAATCTACCACTCAAAAAAAATTATGAATTGACACAGTCTAATTTTCAACAGTTACCACATCAGAGACACATGATATTCGGTTCCTATTGTTCAATTTCTTTCATCACAGCCTGTGGATGAAAAATGTTGCCTACCCTAAGAGCAAACAAAGGATGCTGGGGCCGTCAAGCCAACAGGCACTACAGCCACCCCAGACGGTGAGTCCTGAGGGAACTCAAGATGGGAAAGAACAGGATACTGGCCTTAGATAGCTAAGGTGCACATCAAAGAAATGTTTCCAATGAGCCCCGACTCTTGCATCTTCCATACATAGAAAAGCGCTAAATTCACTAACTTGAGAAATCGGTTTTCTAAAAATTAACAGTAATCTTGTGATGTTCCGACTACCTGGTTTTCGTTGCAAAACTCATATATCCCGGCTCTTTCCTTACTTCTCTGGAGCGGTCCCTCAGAGCTATTTGAGAGCCTGCCTCTCCAGCTTGAAGTCCTCAGAAAGTCCACTGAATAAAACATAATTCTCAACTTTTATGTTGTGCATTTTTTTCAGTCTACAAGCTCCATTTACATGCTATTTTTTTTCTTGCCTTCTCCCTGTTCTACACTATTTACTCTCAACCCTTCTCTTTCATATTCTCAAACCTTCCTATACTCTGATCTTAAATTTAAAATTTTTTTCCTGGAATTTTCTTTTCTTTGTGCTAGCTTGTTCTTGTTCCTAGGATTCCAAAGTTTAGCAGCCTTCTGGTTTCTCTTTGTCCGCTGTTTCTATCTATTCCACAAGCCTATTCTGTTGAGCCCTCCCATCCCGTGTCAGTAAAACCAGAGGCATTGTCTAGTGAATGGTCTCAGCGGAAGTCTCAGGGCTCCTAGGAGCGCAGACGGCGGAGGCACAGGCTCCGCTTCAGCAGCACTGGGCTGGGTGATGGTGGCTCCTTGCGGGCAGGAGCTGAGCTATGAGGCTTGGAAGGGTCCACACCAGGAGAGATCTCAGGCTCCAGTGCTCAGCCCCCGGAGCCGGGCGACCCCGCCTGGAAAGGTTCTGAGATCCGTCATCAACGGGTCTCCGCGGCGTCCGCCTCTCCTGGGGTCGCCTCTTATGGATCCTTACGGGTCGCAGGGGTCGGCCCCAGGCCGTCTCTGCGCCCCGCCACTGGATGCGCTGCGATCTGGGTCTGTGTCGCCGACAGTTGCAATGCACAAGCCCAGAGACTGGAAAGCAATTCTCACTGGAGGTCCCAAGAGAGCTGGCTCACCGTGGGATAGGATCAGAAGCCGAAACCCCAATCATCTGGTTCCCACATCCCAGACCATCCTTTAGGCGTCCCCTCCACGGCCATTCCCCCGGGCAGAGGGACCTGCGCTTCAGTCTCTACTCCAGCACTGCTAGCATGGTGCTCTGTGTCAGCTGGTCTGACAGCTACGTGCTGGAATAGAACTTCCCGGTGGTGAGCAGCGGGCCTGGGGTTGAGCAAAAGAGTCGCCAGCGCCAAAGACGCCCCCAGCCTAAAGATCGACAGATTCTGGACCCCGCCCGAGCCACCTCTCTTGGGATCACCTGGATTTAAACTGCAAACTGCTTTCCAGTCTCTGCGAGCCTCTGCGTTAGGATTCAGAAACCAGACCATCTCCAGGCGGGGCGCAGAGCCGCCAGCCCAGGACGGGGTGCCCGCGACCCACCAGGAGCCAGAGGAGCCCCCGGGAGAGGTGGCCGCCGATGACGAGGAGCTCCGCAGCCGCAGCCACAGCCAGGCAGCCTCCCTCAGCAGGTGACGCTGCTTCCTAGGATGAACGAGTGGAGCCCTAGCACCCTGACGGCGGGGACCCCTCGGAGCATCGCCTGGCTTCTACCCCGGGAGCCACCACCGCACGTCCCAGTGCTGGTAGCAGCGGATCCGACGAGCTGAGACCTGTAAGAATACGGGCTGCCTCCATCTTCGGCGCTTAGGAGCGTGAGATTTCCGCTGAAACCCTTCATTGGGTGGTCCTCGGCTATGGAAGTTGCAGCAACATCCCTCCGTTTGCTCACACGATGAGCGACATTGTGTCTTCAAACGATGTGTACCCATTTTTTCTGCTCTTTTAATAAAATTGTCCATAAATGCGAAATTCTTCTTTCTCAGGTCTATTCCTACTTTGACTGTTGGCGATGGAAGAGGTGCAGGGGTGGAGATGGCTGGTGCTCTCACTTTCCTGGGCGTGAGGAGGGTGGTGGAGTCCCCTGTGCACACGGAGGTGGCCGGGTGGCTGCTTGTCAAATTTGCAGACGTGCACTGGTCGTCTAGGAGATCCGGCAGACAGGATCTCTGAGAACGTCACTGGGGCTGGGATCTACCCCAACTAAGTCTTCCTGGACCTCCTAGGGTCCTAGCCCTCCTCAGGGGCCTTTCTGAGATCTTCCAGGTGCTCTGGCATCTCTACCTCATTCCTCTGGCTTCTTAACGATTTGCATCCAATTAGTAGTCTGCAAATGAAAAGGGGTAGGGGGCAGATCTCTGATCCTGACTTTTGCGAGCGTCATGCTAGCATGGACTTCCAGAAGCTCTTTCCTCCTCTTGGTGTGTGGGCAGGTGCCCTTCCTAGCCCTAGGCTTGGAGTGTGTATGAGATGGGTGTCCAGAGTGGCCAGTGGCAAAGGAGTTCCAGTTGTTGGTCTCAAAGTCAGCCTTCAAATCTGGGACCAAGACGAATGTGGCTCCGGATTCTGGTTCAGCTAGAAGCCTTCCTATTGGATAATTTTCCTTCTGGGTCTAGCTAAGGAGCTGCTCTTCCACCTTCAGTTTCAATTCCTCTCCATTCCCTGCGCCCCTCATCAACCACCACTCCTGGCCCCTCCCCATATTCAGACTCCTGATGCCCCAATCCCTGGGCTAGTTTAGTGACCAGCAAAGATCAGAAGAGCTCCTGGCGTTGTCCTGGGATCCTACATTAATTAAAGTAACACATAGAAAAGAAACAAAACGTCATTATTTAAATATTTTATTTATTTCTTGATGGAAATACACGTACAAAGGGAAAACTGTAAAAGTTCAAGATGAAATATTGTGAGGAATTTTTCTTCTTTTTCCTTTTTTCTCATTGAAAAATCATGATCATAACAAAACAAACATCCTCAAAATACCCTGAACGCAGAAAGTAAACTTCAAAAATACATATTTCATTCAGGGCACCTAGATTTTTTTTTTTTTTTTTCCGGTACGCGGGCCTCTCACTGCTGTGGCCTCTCCCGCTGTGGAGCACAGGCTCCGGACGCGCTGGCTCAGCAGCCATGGTTCACGGGCCCAGCCGCTCTGCGGCATGTGGGATCCTCCCGGATCGGGGCACGAACCAGTGTCCCCTGCATCGGCAGGCGGACCCTCAACCACTGTGCCACCAGGGAAGCCCATAGATTCGTTTCTAAGAGGTTAATTAAAGAAAGAAGATTGTAATACGTTAGTAAGGATGAAGATGAGTGTGTTGTCACTGTTTTATTTATTTTATGCTTTTTAGGAAACAAACAGAACCCTGGAATGGTTTACACATGCGATTTATTAGAGGAAGAAGATAACTGAAATTTGATGGAAAAGGAAGACGCAGACATCAGACTGAACATTCCTTGGGAAAAGACTCTGAGAACCAAACTGTAAACTGGCCCCTCAAGAGAGACACTGTCAGAAATCAAAAAAGAAAAATGTTGAATCAGAACACCCACCATAGCTGCTCTCTTTGGAACCATGCAGCTCATGGCATGAGGTAGAATGCTGGGTCCTACCAAATATGTGGGGAATGTATGCATAATCTGTAATCCTCCTGCACTATTGTCTGTCAAGGCTGCATTTGGTCCCGGTGAATTTAAGGTTCTTGTCTCGTCGCAAAAGAATTCGGAGATGAAGCAGGGAGGTTAAGAAAGTAAAGTGAGATTTTATTTAAGCAAGAACACACTCTCAGAAGGAGAGCAGGCAGACAGTGAGGAGTTGCTGCCCTGGGCTTCTTTGGCAAGCCAATTATGAGGGGCATACAAATGAAGGGGCGGAATATTCACTAAGGAAGGAGGAGTTTGGGGGTCATATTCCCTGATTTTCATCCCAGCTCCATCTTCCCGAGGGGAGGAGGCCTTTTTGTCTTTATTTAGCTTAGATCAGAAGTGTCATGGCGTCGGTGCATGATGGGTACCTTTTTTTTAAATATAGTTTAATGTATTTTAATAGCAAACTTACAGGAGCAGCACAGAAGACAGACAACAATAAAAACATGTATTTGCATGTAGGACAACTCAGAAAAGTATAGTGAATGGATGGAATCTACTGTATGATAAAAATGCTACAAACACCGTTTAGTTTCAGTCAGTAAGAAATTTACTTGTTTTAAAAAAATCCAAATGCTGGCATTGTCCAGAAAAATTTAACAGGTTTATTTATAATTGTTATAAAGTTGAACTGCTGGAACTTCTTCACTGAAACTTTTTTTTTTTTTTTAATGATATGCGAGACTCTCACTGTTGTGGCCTCTCCCGTGGCGGAGCACAGGCTCCGGATGCGCAGGCTCAGTGGCCATGGCTCACTGGCCTAGCCGCTCTGTGGCATGTGGGATCTTCCCGGACTGGGGCATGAACCCGTGTCCCCTGCATCGGCAGGCAGACTCTCAACAACTGCGCCACCAGGGAAGCCCCACTGAAACATTTTGACTTGCATTAATGCTTTATGACCCCGCATTTATGTTAAGAATTCACACACAAATGAAAATGGAAAAACTGCCAATATTTTATTTCTGTCCCCTATCTTTCCACTTGCAATCATATACTTAGGTACCTGTTGACCCCGTGGGGGAAAAAATATCTAACGTTCAGAACTACCAATAACAGGAAGAAGAGAATTTTTTTTTTAAGAATGAAATGTTTCCCATCTTAGTGGATTCTTAAGCATGTTCTCCACATACGCGGTGCGCTAGCTAGATGTCTTTTTGGCATGACTGTTACACGTTTGGCATGGATAGCACAGAGGTTGGTGTCTTCAAAAAGGCCAACCAGGACTTCCCTGGTGGCCCAGTGGTTGAGAATCTGCCTGCCAATGCAGGGGACACGGGTTCGAGCCCTGGTCTGGAAAGATCCCACATGCCGCGGAGCAACTGGGCCCGTGAGCCACAACTACTGAGCAACTAAGCCCATGAGCCACAACTACTGAGCCTGCGCATCTGGAGCCTGTGCTCCGCCACAAGAGAGGCCGCGACAGTGAGAGGCCCGCGCACCGCAATGAAGAGTGGCCTCCGCTCGGCGCAACTAGAGAAAGCCCTCGCACAGAAACGAAGACCGAACGCAGCCAAATAAATAAATAAATAAAATTTATTGTTTTAAAAAAAGGCCAACCAGATAGGCCTCATTTGCCTCCTGCAAAGCACCAATAGCTGCACTCCGGAAGCGCAGATCTGGTTTGAAGTCCTGAGCAATTTCCTGCACCAGATGCTGGAAGGGATGTTTGCGAATCAGAAGTTCAGTGGACTTCTGATAACATCTAATTTCAGGGCATGCCCCGTACCAGGCCTGTAACGATGAGGTTTCTACACCCCTCCAATAGAGAGCGCACTCTTGCCAGTGGCTTTGGTAGCCAGTTGCTTCCTTGGTGCTTTTCCACCGGTCGATTTGTGGCAGTCTGCTTTGTAAGAGCCATGGTATAGAGACCTTCTTACTTACCCCCCTTCACCTTCAGCTGGAGCTTGGGGAGCTAGAGAAGGCGCTAGAGTTGGAGAGCGAACGGCATCGCACAGGTGGCTGCGAACATAATTGAAAAGATGATGGGTACTTCTTATCTGCAAGGATAATTTTATTGTAATGAGAGCAAAATGAGCAACAGGGTACATTCAGGTGCAGGACATTCCCACCTTTCCTCACCTTTCTTTGCTTCCAGGACACATATCACGCCAAACTTGTGGTTTCCTGTCAGTCTGGAGGTTCCTGCTTTTCTTTGCCCATGGACCCCTGCTGTTTACAAGCTGCGTAATTTCCTGCCACCCGGCGCCTGCCCCCATTCCTCTGCTCCTCTATCTACCTGCCTGCTGTAACACAGTCATCCCAAAGAATGATCTGGTAGTACTCTCTTAAATTGGGCTTATACATTTTCTGTTCCACAATTGTGCTTATGGGTACCTATCCTAGAGAAAGTGTCTCACTGATCCATAAGATATGATTCCATACGGTAATGGTAACTCAGTAGCAATCTGAAGGTCCCCTGGGGTACAGTGGAGGGGTAAAGTGTGGCAGAAGCTCATCAGAGGGGAACAGGCATGAGTTGGAAGCAGCAGATGAAATTTGCATATAAAGATCTTGTAAATTAGCAAACGGATGGAAAGTAATGAATAAAATCAGAATAGAACACATTTCCTTTACATGAATACGTGGGCACACAAAACAGTATTATATATAGTACAACACTGAAAAATACCAAATACACATTAAAAATACAATAGCTATTAACAGGAAAAATTACACCTAAGGGGAGCAGAGAAATGAGAATCACTAATGATAGAATGTCCATAATTACATAAAACAGGATAGGGGCCCTACCAACAAACACGATTAAAAACATGGTGTTCACTCAATTCAACGTGCCCTGTAGCTTTGAAAATCAGGGCAAACTTGAGGTGTCCCTTTGATTCGGCTGAGCTAGTGTAGACCAAAATAGAAGTATTAGAATTCTAAGTAGGCATGGGACTCTCCTTTTCCCGCCCCTACCTAATCACTCCGTTCCTCATCTCCCCACCTGATGAGGGAGTAGGAGAACCTGGAATCTCAGTCCAGCTGCAGCATGAACTACCTTTGTGTTCTGGCAAAGATGGAACCTGGCTGTTTCACCTCTTAACACTGGTCCATCCACTCTTGTGCTAAAAGAAGAGAACCTGAGGTGTGATATGCATAGCTGTTCCTTCCAAGTAGTGAGGCTTCTTCCAGTGAATGGAAGCTGCCAGGGACCCTCGTCCCCTCCCATCCCCCTCCTTTAACTCAATCAGCAAAACCACTCGGAATTTCCAAACCCCTCCCAGCAAGATGCAGTTTTCTCCTTAATCTCGCGAGGCTCCGAGGCAATTTGCAAGGCAAATGAGTGTCTATCTCCACTTATCTGGACTTGGGTTTCCGATCTTCTGTACTAGACAGACCCTATAAAAGGCACACTCAGCATGGGGCTGAATCATTCGCCCCTTTGCTTGGACCCGCTACGCGTCTGGCCTGGGAGGAGGCTGAAGCCATGGAACCGCACGCGTACTACACCTGGGAAGAGCTGTCCTGGAGGAGGGCGCATCCAGAGCCCCACATGCCAGCGGGCCTCAACCGAGAACAGGCCTGGGCCTGGGCTCTGGATAACTTCCCTGCGCTGAGCCGCCCCTCCTGCCAAAGCCCCCAGTTCTGCGAGGACGCGCACTACTGTGCATGTGGGCTGCCGCGGCGCGCTTGCCCCGGACACGCAGACGGTCGCCAGGCGGAGAGCGGCCACAAACGCTGGCGAGACCCACAAGCCCAGGAGCCAACGGCTAACCCGGGGTGGAGCGACAGTCCCGTCAAGAAGAGGCCGAAGCCACACACCGCAGGGCACAATCGGGCCTGAACAGCCAGGAGATGCCCGCAGCAGCGGAGGCCGACAGACACGCGGCCAGATGGCCTCCAGGAGCCCAGGACGATCCCCATCCCCTACCCCGAAGCTGCGGAAGCCCTGTGGAGGCATGAAACCCTGTGGAACTCGGCAAGGAAAGGAGTCACATTCTTCTGTCCGGCCCACGGCGCCCCTTCAACCCATGCCCTGGCCTGGAGCCTGAGTCACCCCAGTGGAGGCCTCCTTCTGCCTGGCTGGACTTCTCCCCTGGGCCCCACCTTGCTCTGGGATGAGCCTGGAGGACTCTGTGGGGCAGACCAGTCCTTAGTTGTCCCTCCTTTCCTGGATTACTGACAGCTCTCTCAATTAGAAATCTCTCTTCAGGGAATCCATACTGTCTTAAGGAGCTTTCTTGCAGTTGTATTCAGAATTGTCATGTTTCTTATGTTGATTCCAATTATGAGCAATGATTAAAACTTGCTTCCCTATTCTCTGCCTGTGGATTGATTTGGGTGGGTAGAGTCAGGCCTGGAAGCGGTATAGGGGCTTCTGTGGCTGAAAGGGGAGCTGGGACCCGGGCCAGGGCTCCTTAAGATCAAAGAAATGTAAAGTGAAACCATGACATATAACTTTGACTACCACGGTGGTCTGTATTAATCTTTTCCATTTGTTCTAATATTGCTAAAGTAGTAACTCCCCAAAGCAGCTTTTGAGAAATGAATTTGAAAGGGTCTTTGGAAAGCCAACGTGACAATATGCATTAAGCATTTCAATATGAATACCCTTGGGGACTTCCCTGGTGGTCCAGTGGTTAAGACTCAGAGCTCCCAACGCAGGGGGCCCCCAAGTTCGATCCCTGGCCAGGGAACTAAGATCCCACATACCACAACTAAGCCCGCTTGCTGCAACTAGAGAAACCTGCACACACCAATCAAGAACCTGCACACCAAACGAAGACCCGGTGTAGCCTAAATAAATAAATAATTCTCAAAAAAAAAAGAATACTCTTGACCCAGAATTCCAGTTCTACAAGCCTGAAATTGTGGTTAAAAAACGGACGTGTTTTCCAATACAGGATAAAAAAATATATAAACAATAGGCATATTTGCACAATCCCAAACTATGCAGCCCCAGAAATAAAATGGGAGGCATGATTTTGAAAAGATATCCCAGAGAACAAATGTACAGTAGGGGAACTAGAACACTGGGCAGGAGGTGACTGTAGCAATGGGACTTGAATTCAAGGGGATGGTTCTAACCAAGTTAGAGGGGAAAGCGCTGAGATAGCCAACCAGGTAGGCTTAGAGAGGGCAGAATTCCAGGTCCTTGCCCTGTGGGCACCCCGTGACTACCTGCACCGGGGTTTTGTAGCTTTTCCGGATCCAGGCAGCCACCTGATCTGCCATATTTGGCTTCTCTGGGGCTGAAGTTGGACCAGGCAGGAACCCAAGTGTCTACTCCCAGGCAGGCCTTTTTGGGAGCTTCCAAACTACTCATGGCACAGAGAAAGTCTCTGAGTCCTCATTATGTCTCTCCCACAAAGTAGGTCCTACCCTACCAGAAGTGGAGCATTCCCCTGAGCCTCTGCTCAGTCCCTGGAGGTTGTCTAGACCCAGGCTACTACCCAGAGCAGGGAAGGCAGTAGCCAGGTTCCTGCCTCTTGCTTGTAGACAACCGAACCCTCACAGCAAGACAGATGAAGTTCCAAACCTTCACTCTCTTACACCGTGAAACAGCATGACTGGGCCAAGAGAGAGAAGCAGGAAGCAGATGTCCTCTAGCCTAGGAGATCTAAGACATCAGAATTAAGATGCTGAAACACAGACGTTGGTGTTAACCTTCAGTGCACATTGCTTCAGGATACCAGACCCCCGAGAAGAAGCAAATTAATATACTCTTCTGAATGACATCCAATAAAACCGAGCTGAATGTGGCTTTGGTCAGATCTGATTGGTTGGGTCATCCCAGCATTTGATGCTCACAGCATGTTTACCAGCATTTCTGAGAAGCAGCAAGGAAACACAAACAAATAAATCCTCCCAAGAGTTATTTTTCTCCTTTTCAGTGCTATCTGATCTTCCTCTGTTCAGCCTGTGGCTAGAGAATATTTTTTTCTATATTCATTCCTTTTTCATTCCCAAAGCTTTA